TGTATATATTTAAGTATATATATGTATATATGTGTGTATACATATATACTTAAAGTGTGTGTGTATTTGTATATATATTAGTGTGTATATATACATATATATACTACTTTTAAAAATTCCCTAGAATTATAACACATGTTTACTAGCAATAAATGCTTTATTCTGAATTAATTCTCCCCCAAGGATTACCAGCTAAAAGTAGACAGGATGAGACATGCAGTAAATATATTCAAAAAAGAGAAAAGCTTGAGAAATCAGAGATGAGTAACTGCCCATAAGTAGTTAACCTAGAGATAACATAGCAACATAAAATCCCTATGTAATATGTTAAATGTTTTTGCCATAGGGCACATGCACTTGCGAAAGGGAGAGGGAAGATAGTGAGAAGGAAAATGATAAACCACCTCCCCGGGGTGGGGGGTGATGGCCATGCCACAATCCCTTCTTTTTCCATCCTCCTCCTGGTATTTCGGGCATGCACACTCATGTGCCTGACATGATTTTCAAGCCACCAAGTTTGGGATCACATCATGGTCAGCCAAGTGAGAGTCTAGTGTCTTAACCACTATATCACCTGCTGGCCCTAAAGCATGTATTCTAAATTAATTTTTTTAATTTTTGTTTTTTGTGATAGGGCACGTATAGTCACAGAGAGGAGAGAGACCAAGAAATACAGAAAGTGAGAAATCACTACCCAAGTGGGATGGCCAGGCCACAATCCCTTCTCCTCCATTATCTTCTCAGGATTTTGGACACACATGCACCCGGCATGAGTTTCAAGCTGCTGGGTCCAAGACTCAAACCACTGTCGGGATTCCCTATGTGTGGAAATCCAGCACCTTAACCATCACACCACCTACTGGCCCCACATATACTCTAATTTAGTGTATGTTAGCCCTCAGATTCCTTAAATTTTAATTGTTGCTAAAGTTTTTTTATTAAGTAAAAGATAATGGTTTACAAAAACATGGAAAAATTTATATTAGTTAGACATAAATCTTTCAATATAGGAAAAATATTAATATAAAATATTTTAAAATATTTATATAAAATTACATTTTAAACCTGTATCTCTTAATGTTTTCTCTATTGAATTAGAGAACAACAACAACAACAAAGCCTCACAACTATTGGCATTCATAGAAAGGTTCGTTGATGGATGATAGTAACAATTACAATGTGTGGTCTTTCTTCTGCCCATTTCCAAATTTTGAATCTCTGGCCAAGACTTTATTCTCCATAGCAGGAGAAAGAGAATAAAACACAAGACTACTGCTCCAAAGCAGTGAGGTGACTGCTGGCAGGGACTCTGGTTGGAAAGTTGCTCACTATCGTGTGCTTCGTAGACCAAGTCCCCTTCTTGTACCTGTCAGTCTTCTCCCTCAACAGCAAAAAACATGGGACAAAAGCTCTGTTCTGGATTTCCCATCTAGGGTGGGTACTTTGCCTCTCATGCTGCTGGGATATAGATCAAGTCTCATTCATAGTTCTCATTCATAGAAAGATATTGATCAAAAATAAAATGATTCTTTCGTATCCTCCCTTTCCATGCAAACCGACCTTTTAGACAGTCAACGTTTATAAGCGAGCTATGTAGAACATTTATAAACATATTATGGGTAGCAGAAGTACTCTCCAATTAATGTTCAAAAGGTTTTCTTGTGTATGGAAAGCCATAGTAAGTTCAAACAGAGATTTAAAACTAGAAGAACTGGTAGAAAGTATTATCAGTGCAGCCATTTCAGGCATTGTAAAATTAGCATGAACTCTGGAGCCAGCAGGTGTCATGGTGGTTAAGGCCCTGGATTCCTGCTTGGCTGACCATGGTTTGAGTATTGGACCCAGCAGTTCTTCTTAGAAGTTATTTTGGAAATTACATGCCAAAATGTCAAATGAACAAACCTTTCATGTAAACATTCTAAGTATTTCTAGAAGTGCAAATGGATACATTACAAAGATTTTTTTTGTAGCTTTATAGTAGCAAATGATAAAGAAAAAAACTAAATGATAATCGATAAAAGGACTATTTATGGATTTAAGATTATGAAATACTGTATATGTCCATAAAAACAATCAAGCAGATTTGTACATATAGACACAGAAAGAAATGCATGCTAGCCTATTAAGAGTAAAATAAAACTAGTTGCAGAAAAAAAAAATAGATCTCATTTTCAAAAAAGAAAACTAGGCCAGCCCTTTAGCCTACTAGTTAAAGGAGCCAGTTCCCACACTATTGGCTGCAGTTTGAATGCTGGCCTTGACAGCTGAATAACATGCTGAGCACACGTGCATGCATGCTCTAAATCCTGACAGGGTGGGGAAAATGAAAGAGAAAGGATTGTGAAGTGACAACGCTCCACTGGGGGATGCCTTCTCCCAGTCCCTACTCCCCCCATCTCTCTCTCTCTCTCTCTCTCTCGCACTCACTCACTCACTCTCTCTCTCAGGAGTATGCACACCATCTAGCAACTAAAAAATAAATTTAAAAGTGTATATGTATATGTGGCATATATATGTTTATATATAGGTAACCATCTAAAAGATAAGTTAAAACTGGAAATGATGATCTTGTAAAGAACAGAAGAGAAATAAAAGAGGGATAAATCTCTTTAATTATAAAAATTCTGTATTGTTTAAGTTTTTATAAGCCTACATTACTTTTTTTTTTTAGAGTTTTCTTGTTTGCTATAGAGCGCATGCACTCACCATATTAACAGAGACACAGAAAGCAGAGATCACCCCCAGGGAGATGGCCATGCCACAATCCTTTCTCCTCATTCTCCCGTTAGGACATTGGGCACACATGCACACAGGCTTGGCATGAGTTTGAAGCCACCGGGTCTGGGACTTGAACCTCAGTTGACTGCCTGGGGGGTCCAGTGAGATAACCATTATACCATCTGCTGTTCTAAACATATATTACTTTCATAATTTTAAAAAGATATTAATGCCAAAAAGGAAAGGGTGCCTAAAACTAAAGATTTTAAAATGTATTCTAACTACTTAATAATTTATATAAAACATTTGTAAGGATATATATTCGTATCAGTCTAATTTTGTTTCCTTCCTTCCTCATATGACTGAAATACTATAAGCACTGTGGAAGGAATCATTGGTAAATAAGGCAAGAATCTTGCTCTTTATTAAGCTGTAAATTCAATCGTTAAATCTTAAAGTTCGTTTTGTTGTTGTTCTTGTTGTTTACCTTTGTAACTCTCTTTGTTTACAGAAACCCAGCATATTCCAAACTGGTAATGTTTGTCCAGACAGAAATGAGAGGAAAATTGTCCCCATCAATAATTGAAAAAACCATGCCCTCCAACTTAGTAAACTTTATTCTCAATGTGAAAGACGGAATAACGGCATACAAAACTCCATCAGTGTGGGAAAGTCAAAATGGTCATTCATCAGTCCAAAAGAAGAAATGAGGCCGTTCTGTCATGAAATCATGTGTAATAGTTATTGCAGTTTACGTCTAAGTCAACACACATAAATACCGTTGAACTATTCTAGGCAGTATTCCTGTACAACTTGCTGAAGATACTTTGTGAAAATAAGAACTCATAGTTGTACAAGAAAACACCATTAAATATAGTTTTTGATCTCACATAATGTTAAATAATGTGTTATTAATACACTTATATCTTTTCCATTTGACTGAGGAAAATGCTGTGTATAAGAATCAAAAAGAAAACAGATACAGTCAGATGTCAGCATTAAAGATTAAAATACACTTTAAATTGTTTTTTCCTTCACTTACTGCTTAAATATAGAATTTAGTAAGCATGAACATAAAAATTGAAGAGTTCCACTGAAATGTATGACCAGAAACATTTAGAATTTAAAATCGAAAGAGTCACGAATCAATTTCTAATTGTGGACAAGATGTGTAACAGTAGCCTATTCCTCCCAATTCTTTGCTTTTACAGCTAAGACCCTACATACACATTCTACAGCCAACAAACAGGAAAACTCAAGTGTAGGTGGAAAGAAGACAGCAGATTGTTCAGGAGACAGCCTTTGGACTTGAAGATGACATTCAGGGAGTTCTCTGGATCTGCTTATTGCCTCCTATACACCCCAGACAGACACTACAGAAACCTTTAGCCAGGAACCACCAATAGACATTTACCACCAGCCCCCACTAAAAAAAAAACCTGCTTCTCCTAGCCATGGGCCATGGCACCAGCAAAAAAGGTGACCTAACAACAATGGGGGGGGGGGGGGCTTTTGACAATACTAACCCTATACTAGTCGGACATCAACGTTGGAGCCTGCAGATGGCATAGTGGTTACATCACTAGACTGCCACATGGCCAACCATGGTTCAAGCCCCGAAACTGGTGGCTTGAAACTCAAGTTGGACATGTGTGCATTTGTGCCAAAGATCCCAGGAGGAGAATAGAAAAGGGATTGCATCATGGCCATCCCCTCAGGGAGGGGCATGATTTCTCACTTTCTCTTGCTTCAGCCAGCACACATGTCCTAAGGCAAAAGCCTTTAAAAAATTTAAAATAAAGGAATAACCACCATATTTTAAGCCATCTATGGTCATTAAGATGACTGGTTCCCACATGGCCGAGGGCATGGTTCACATACTGGACATGGCAGCTTAGAAAACATGTTAAAAACAAAAAGAAAATGGAGGAAAGGGATTGCAGCTTGGCCATCTCCCGTAAGGTGTGCTTTCACACTTTCCCTCTCTCTGTCTCTGCTGCCAGGGAGCACATGACCTTATAACAAATAAAAATTAAAAAAAAAATTGCAACCATCCTACTGTCAGAGTTTAGGTGGGGCAGTGCAGGGAAATGTTTTCCACACACCCACCCACCCCCATTCCTCAGGAGCAAGCAGACTGTGGTGCTTGGATGTCTGACACCTTGTAACAGGAACTGACATTCTTTTTTCTTTTAGAGAGATTTTTGCTATCGCGTGTGTACACTCACTGGAAACACAGAGACAGAGAGACAGAAAGCAAGAAATCACCTCCCAGGGGAGATGGCCACGCCGCAATTCCTTCTCCTCCATTCTCCTCTCGGGATCTTGGGCACTCACATACAGGAGCCCGGCATTGCGTTTAGGCCACTGGATGAACCGTGGTCGACTACGTGGGAGTCCAGCAACATAACCATTATGCATCTGCTGGTCCCAACAGGAACTGATTTTCTGTCTTCCCTCAACAGAGGCAGGTGGTGTGTGTAGTGTCAGTGGGTCTAGTGACAGATGCTGCGCCTCCATCCCCAGCATCAGTGGTTTCTCTTCTGTAGAGGGAGCTACATCCCACCAAAAGTATTTCCACGCCAAAGCTCTGAAACCTGTGAATGTGACCTTATCTGGAAAAAAGGGTCTTTGCAAAAATAAAGAACTCAAGATGAGATCATCCTAGATTATCCCAGTGGGCCCTAAATCCAATCACAAGTGTTCTGAGGAGAGACACGGAAGAGAGACACATGGAGAAATGGAAAAGGATATGTGAAGGCAGAGTGGGAGTCTGGCAGCCACAAGCCAAGGGTTATCTGGAGCCTCCAGAAGCTTCTAATCATTTCAGATATTCAGACATTACTAGACTTACCAAAACAAAAGTTTGGTTTTCAGTATATTTTGACAATTTGGGTTATAATTTAAAGGGATACAGTTAAGTAGATACAGATTTTTTGTTGTTGTTGTCATTTTGTGTTTTATTTCTTCTTTAAGCAAGAAAGAGAAACAGCACTCCAGCAAGATCTTGGTATTGTGATCTGGCCTCATGAGGCCAGTGTCACATCATGGGGACACGCATGCTTATGAAAGTGGAACCCCTGTGTGGGTCGGCCTTGCAGAGCAGCATATGTTAACTGCTGTGCCACCATCTGCAGCCCTGGATACAATTTAATGAGAAGGAAATTCTTGTGAAATAGAGAAGTGTATTAAAAAGATTGCTGCAAAGGAATTAAAGATTGAGAATACTAATTATAGGTAAAAACAAAAACAATAGCAGAACTGAAATTTTACTAATACGATACCTTTGCAGTATTACAGTGTAAATAACAATAACAGTATATTGGGTCGTCGGAAAAGCCACGGCACATTTTTGCATAGAAAAATGGGACCAGCAAATGGCATAATGTCTATGTGGCTGGACTCCCATGTAGTCGACCACAGTTTGAGTCGCGGACCCGGTGGCTTAAATTCATGGAGGCGTGCATGTGTGCATGCCCAAGATCCCAAGAGGAAAATGGAGGAGAATGGGTTGTGGCATGGCCATCCTCCCTGGGGTGGCTTATTTCTTGCTTTCTGTCTCTCTGTCTCTCTGGCGAGCACGCGTGCTCTATGGCAAAAACCTCTCCAAAAAAAAGAAAAATAGAAAAACAGATTATAACTTTTCTGACAATCCAATAGTGAGACCTCACAAGAAGCTATATAAAGACTACTTGAAATATGAAATTATACTCACTATCAATAACTTTGAGACATTAACATTGTCCAATGACAGTATAAGTGTATAATTTTAAAATAAGTAAAAATAAAAGTGCATTAAATTAAATGCACATTTTGGCCCAATACTAAGTATGAGTATTTAAACCAGTATTTGGCCAAACCAAAAGCAGCTCTTATCACCATTATAATATGAACCAGAAAATAAGAAATCTGAAGCTTTATCCAAAAGTACAATTCAGTTTAAAAACTTTAAAAGTCAACATTTTAAATTTTGACATTAGAATGTAGGGA